TTCCGTTCGTGGCATTTCGAGGAAACCTCGCGATCTGAAGTTTCGCCATTCGTAACTGGATTCCGACGAAACGACACTCTCGATCATTTGATGCACTTGCAAAGTGTTTCGAGCCATTTTCTCTTCGATCGAATAAAATTCTATATAGAAACGATTACTGTTATCGAACGTGCGTATGCCATTTTATTTTAAGATCTTGATTAAACTTTCAGTGACATCAACTTACGAATAATGACGATCATCTCTTATATGTATTCGCTATTCGTTGAAACGTGATTCGAAACGTATTGTAAACTATTCGACCGTGTTAATGTATTATGCAACATGGGGACAATCGGTTTTACGTAGAAATTTTTATCTATAGATAGCTATAAATAAATATCTCGTGGTCAGTTACGACGTACAGAAACGCTAAATAGCTTTTTTCTTTAAATTTAATATTTCTTTTACTACTATCGCCACGATAAGGCGAATTTAAGTCGAGGTATCAATAAATAAGATACGAAATGTGCTTGGAATACATAAGGATAGAAGCTATGAATAGTATTGTACGCTTAGAAATATGTCGTTGGATCGAGAACACGTATTTAGAATGATCGAGTTTAAAATATGCAGAAATGTTTCCGAGTGACTTCAACGCCTACGGTATTTTTAGCGATGTTTCAAGCTTTCGCTATCGCATTTTATTACGCTAAAGCCATTAGCGAAATTATTTTAAGACGCTGTGATTAGGCGAGGCGTCAAAATAACCCGTCGTAAAGGGCCCCACCGTTAGGGCAGGTTTTTCCGCCATACCTGAACTCATTATACACTTTCTCGAATGCAAAATGCAAAAAAATTCCCTTTTTGGAAAGGGAGGAAGTGAAGTCAAGGTTATATACATTGTTTCAATTCATTTTCTGGTTCTATAGGATTCCGAAATTTATAAAACATTTATACTGTTAATAAACAAATGGTCAGAATTCCTTTCCAACATTATTAATTTGAAACTAGCATGGATCACGAGTTTCCTCGCGTCGATATTAATTACATCGTCGTTTCAATATGGCGGTGCAATTGGGGATAAAAACGCGCGCGATTCGAATCGCAAACCCTCCTCGATCGATACTTTTTCGAAGGCAGTAACGTCGCGGGACTTAAGAATAGAGCAATAGTGATGCAACGGCGTCGAAAATGCCGCGTGTCGCGTAAAAAGGTCGTAACGACTCGTGTAACGCGGGGACCGCGCGAACGGGGCACACGTTGCTATGTTTTTGCAGAAACCACAAGTAAATTCGCGGCAACGATACGGCGCACCTGCGTTTCGTTTCGCTTGATATCACAGCCGCGCGATAAATTTTCATTGCCACGTACGTAGGAATAAACTTTTATTGGCCATTGAGCGGTTTGAATTTAAACGTTCCGCCTGCACGCGCGCCTCCCTTTGCCTATCCGCGTAAGAATCGCGCGGGTTTTCAACGGTGTAAAATACCATGAATATCTCACAGTTCGCGTATTTGGCTTGTGGAAACGGGCTTTCACATTTATGGACAATATTCTTTTTCCTTTCTAGAAAAGGGAAACGCCTCGCCTCGTCGCCTCGCTTCTTTTTCGTTTCTTTAAAGGAGCTGCATGAATTTTTCATTTTCCCGGCGAAAATGGCTATTTTTTAGCAGCCTATACGGCTCTCGCGATATCGATGGACGGAGTCGAGTCGTGGCGTTCGTAACGGAATATTAAGTTTTTCTTGTACCTACGTACAGAGATTTTTCAGATATTTTAAAGCATTATGGTAATAGCGTTTCGAAGTAGCGTTATGGCATGACTGTAGTCGCGGAACGATGTCAAGAATATCTTGTGGTTATCACAGGACACGTTATTCAAATGAATTGAAACGAGTATTTTCTAAATGGCTTACGTAAGGACCGTTCGAAAGAAAAGAAAATATTTATGCGTGTTAAACAATTTGAATTTCTAACGAGGGACGATGGGCATTGGCACGATAATTATTGCGGTGCGAGAGGTCGCGTTTGTACGGCGCATATTTAGTTTTTCGCAGTCATGAGCTTTTTAATCGAATAACAGATAGCTAATTTATTTCTGGCGTTTATTTCGCCGTTCAATTTTTATCTACGTTTCTATCGATAAAAATTGAACGAACGATTTCAACACTTTCCTGTTGGTATAATTCGCGTGAGAACTCTTTATGCATTTGCATGAGTGGTTTCATTTAGTTCGATTTGTTCTTCGGGAATTGATATTCGAAATATGATGGGAATAATGCTGCTAAGAAGTGGTTTCATGCGAGCGATTAAAATGAATATTTCTGCGAAACGATCGACGAGGATATTTCGGCCTTGATCGCAATCATGAAAGATGCGTGTATGCGATCTTTTTCCAATCGTTAGCGATAGGAATTCGCCTCAGGATTCGCGTACACGCAACGTGTCGCAATGCCAACGATTCACCTTGATTATTTGAACCGTGGCTTCCGCGCCGCGACAGAAGGATGTGTCGTTTCTCAGTTTTTTTTTTCCCCCCAAAGTGATCGATCGCGTTCGAAGAACTAGCTCCGATCGACGCTGAAAAATATCGTGGAAACCTCTTCGTTTTGACAAGTGTCACGATGTTAATTGTTTCTGGCAAAAGTACGATTTAAAAAAGAGGAACGAAAGTAAAACTTGGTACTCGTAATAATTTGTAATTGTTATTTAGATGGAACATGGTTGATGTCAGAGATCGTTTTGAGCTTAAAGTGGCGGTATCTTTTGTGTAGTTACGAAGAAAGCTTAATACCGACAGAGACGCTGTAAAATAGATCACAGACGAGGTATACGTTTAATTATTTCAATAAAATTAATTAATTGATGCCCAACTCTGGATCGTGCAAACTTTCATTCCTTTAAAAACAAAAGAATTTCTGTAATTTTATTTTCTCCTCTGTTGGTAATGCCACCTTTACCTTATCGACTTCCGCGGTCCAATCTGACTGCCTTACCGACCTGAAAATTCGAAGGTGATTTTACCGTCCTCTTCACATGGTTGGTGGTCAGTTGAGAAACTATTCACTGAATTAGTATTGATAGGTAAACAGCTTTAGTGTTGCGTAAATGCATGTGAATTGACTATGAAAGAAAATTCATTTCTGAATCTGTTGGTAACGTTGCGAGTGACACGAAAAATATTTCCACGATGTAAATTTCATTTTCTGTAACGTTTTAAATATCATTTAAAAAAAACTCGATAACACTTGACCGTGATAAAATTTATCGACTATGTAAAATTTTCTACGCGCACAATTTCGTTTTATGTTTAAATAAATGAAAGAAGAGACGCCCCTGTATGCAGATCCTCGCTAGTAGGTACCCCGAGAAGGGTGCTTGGTCAATTACATGGAAAGGTGTCGAATTGCAAAGATACTTTCACGAATTTGTCGAGCAATAAGTCAGCTCCTACTCCAGGATGTTAAGCAGGATCAGCGGGGTCACCGCAAAACTCGTATTACAGGATCCATTTCGAATCCTCCTTTCAACGAAATGGATGACAGCCCGTTCACAAGGATTTTAACCGGATTAATAGATCAAATGGTCGTTTCCTTCCACGTAAACCTCTGAATGAAGAAAGCATAAAGAAATGATCTCAAAAAAATTATTTCTTCCAACAGTAGAAAATAAAATGATTGAAGCTCGTATGAATGCTATTCGTAATAAATGAAGTAATTTTTTTCTCGAAATTGAGTCGGATTTCGGGGGTGTGTCTATTCACCAAAAATGATTGAAATTGACTCCCTCAACCAAAAATAATTTTTCCAGAACGATTTGAAACTTTTTAATTTTGTCGACAAAGTCCACCTTCCTGAATTTTTTTCTCGAAAGTGGGTAGGATTTCGGAGGTATGTCTATTCACTAAAAACGATTGTAATTGACCCTCGCAATCAAAAATAATTTTTTTAGAACGATTTGAAACTTTTTAATTTTGTCGACAAAGTCCACCTTCCTGAATTTTTTTCTCGAAATTGCGAAGGATTTCGGGGGTATGTCTAATCACCAAAAATGATTGTAATTGACCTCCTCAACCGAAAATAATTTTTCCAGAACGATTGGAAACTTCTTAATTTAATTTTTTAATAACTTTCCAACGAAGCCTCAATCAACAAATTTGTCTTATTTAGGCCTCTAAAATCTCCAATTAATATTTTTCCCAGGAATGACCGAATACCCTGTATAAGGAATAAAAAAATAATGTCTATGAAAAAATTGTTCATCGAATACGTTCAATACTCTGTGAAATTAAAGGTATTAAAATAACCTTGTGTCATAGTATTTTAAAATCCACTATCCAAACCCAAAGGGTTAATCGTAGGAGAAACATTAGGAAAGGTCAACTCCGTACGTAAAAAGCGCTAATTGTATAGTGCGTGTTTCGAAGGAAAACATAAGCGGGAAGGATGGACCAGGTGGCTGCATATGACGCAAAGCCAAAACGATTGGGCGAGAAACTTTAGGAAAAGCAAAAGAGGAGGACGTGGCCGTACCGAAAACGAAGAGACGTTCGGCGATCGGAAAGCTCCGCCCGATTTTCAGGGCGTCTCAAACACTCCCTCTTCTCTGGCAATGTTCTTTACCAATTCCCTCCCGCTGTCCCGTCTCTCCTTGCAGCTTTCTTCCTCTTCGTCGTCGAGAATTTTGACGTACAATTAGTTCCGCGCGAGCCTCGCGACCTATCGTGACATTCCAACGCTACCAGTCAAAGAAACGAACGATTTTACGTGGAAAAGTATCAAGGTAAGGTCCTCCACCTTCGACCTTTGCAACCACGAGTTCCATCAATCCATCGTACGCTGTGTTCGAGTGCGAAGTGATGATCTCTTTCAACGCTTTAGCGACGGATGACGTGCAACTGGCCTGATGGCTCTTTATTTTCACAAGTTTTGATGGACGTCTCGGGATCGTTTGCAAGCGTTAAAGCGTTGAGGTACTCTTTAGGGGCTTTTGTGGTAATAACGTGGCATGGTTGAACAATTGCAGAACATGCCACGCAAGCGACGCGCCTCGACACCGACATTGGAAGCAGACGAGGAAGAGTTCGCCTCGGAAGAAAGGTACACCAAGGACGAGTTGGACAACCGTGCACCGAGGAACGCGGCGAACGCGAGGGAACGAGCTCGGATGAGAGTCCTGAGCAAAGCGTTTTGCAGATTGAAGACCACTTTGCCCTGGGTGCCAGCCGACACGAAGCTCAGCAAGTTGGATACCCTTCGTCTCGCCGCCACGTACATCGCTCATCTTCGAGCGGTTCTCAGGGACGATGGGGACTCGCACTCGGAAACGACCAGGTCCTTGTCTCTGGCTTTGGTAAGCTCCAAAAGTTCACTACCCTAAACTCAACGTAGTTGCATTCAAAAACTATCTTAAACGATAGCGTTTGACGATCATCGAAGTACGACTCTCTCGACTTTGGTCTCCAAGAGTGTTATATCTTAAGGGTAAAAATTGATTGCTCATACTATTATTAGGTCTCACATGTTCATACCGTTGGACATTCTCAAATTGACGAGAATAAAATTTGTAGTTTAGCGGGAAATAAACAAAATTCGTCAGTTCAGGGATACTGTGTCGAGAAGTAAGGGATCCACAATGAGTTTGGCTGGATAAATATTTTTATTAGCATCCAAATAGTAAAATCGAACTTTCCCTGAACCACTCGATGACTAGAGAAATGGAGCGTGTATAATAATCTCCAGGTTTATTAGCCTACGTTTTAAGGGAGAATGTTGAACATATGGGACGATTTAGTATATCGATGGCTTACCGCACACATGTCCATTGCACTAAATATTAAACATATTAAAATATTGAAATCGTAAGTTTCTACTTACAGTTCTGAAATATCCTTGTACGAAAAAGTAATGTTAAAGGATTTCCAAGTGACTAGGGTGAGATATTTTCGTCCTATGTTCCCCAGTTTTTTGTGCTATCGCAATTTTTGGTATCACGATTACGAGTTGGTAAAATAACAAAGGATCCAGGTGGATCCAGTCGGCGTCGTAACGGCGAGCGTCGTCTTCGCAGACGCCGCTTCGTTCTCTGTTTATGTCTCTCCAGGTGGACCAAATCACACTCGAAGCTCCCACCCACCCTTTCCACCATTAATTCTAAGTTAGATCCGTTATTTGAAGAGCGACGTCTTATTATTCTTCTTGCGTTGCACGATGATTTTCGTTTCTCTTACGAGCCTCAGCGATCTATGAAACAGAAAAAAGGAGAAATTAGTTGTAAAATAGAGTTTCAAGAATTTCAGAGTTCTCAAAGAGTTGTGTTTTAACATATTTGTTGCAGTCGTGGCCATTCGCTCTTCAAGGAAGCAACGCCTCGATGCTAATGAACAACAGTTGCAACGTGTCGTCGTCGACGTCGCCGAATTCTAATCAGTACCGCGGTCAGCAGGGTGCCCACGAAATCCAGAATTTCCATCACCCTGGACATCAGAACATGTCAATACGACACAATCACGAGCCACAGCTTTCCTATTTCTAATACCTCTCGACAGAGGCGATTAGAAATTCTTCTTATCGACGAACAACGTTCTATTCACGAACGAAAGACTCTTATCGCTAACGACGATGCCAAATTAACAGCCATTGGATTCTATATTTATTTCGGAGTGCCTTATTGTTCCGCTATTTATTGATCTATCGATTAACGTTTTAAGAAATATTACTACGATATCGACTTTTTTATTGTAATCGTTGCTGTAACCAAAGCATGAGAACTAGTCCAATAAAGTATTTCTATAATTCTATATTACTGATCTTTCCTTCCCTTTTCCAACATAATCACTAACAAAATGACCAGTCTATCGATGATCAAAAATTAGGGAATTAACGAGCAATGTAATTTGAAGCCTGGAAAAGTCAGATCAAACGAACGAATTCCACCAAATTCCAAAAATATTAATTTCGCGGAAGCGACGTAAAGAGAGCCGGAATATGGTTGGAAAAAATTTGTGTGGCTTCCGGAAAGGAAACAGAGGAAGTACGTGGTAAGGAAAGAAGGATAAAGAACGCCAAGTTAAATAAACAGCGCGAAGGGCCTTTTGTGTAAACCCGAAACTAAAATAATATATCTCGTTCCATCTACAAATCGACCGAGGTTTGAGCGTATCGCTTAGGATCCACGTATGTCAATACAAACCATCTTTTCGGGCTTTACGAATCATATGTTTTCTCACATTTTCTGACCAGTATCCCAAATTTTTTTTCTCTTTATTTTGCAAACTTCCATAACCTCGGTGCAAGAACGTGATTTCTCTTTTTATAAATAATAAACGAATTTGACAAAAACGATTATTAGTCGCGTTGAGATTTCGATCTACCTACAGGAGATTCTTATTAATCATTTCAGTATTTTTAACGAGATAGATAAGTTATGACAATCATTTACATTTATATTTAAGTATATTTTAAAAGATGAAAACAATTTTTAATCATAGTTTATGCATTTGATCGGGAGTGTTTCTAATTTGTCGAATATACTAACCCAGACAATTCTGTACGATTTAAATAGCGCGCTCCGGAAGTGGAAGTTGTAAGTTGTAACTATTTCTATTTCGCAAAACAAAATCTTAAGGTTATCTAAATTTGTATAATTTAGTTGATAAAATCCATTAATTATTTAAAACCTAATTCAAAATTTAATGCGAATTATTTTCAATGGTTTTTCCTAGTTTATATATTCACGGTTCTGACCCATTTCTTATTATATCCAATTTATTAATTAACTGGAAACTAAGAACAATAAATGGTTTGCAATTTTTGCGTTGTAGGATTATAATAAATAATAAAATTATATTTTCTATGGTAGGGTCACAGAATTCGTTCCAACCATAGATATATATATTTCCATGTACATCCGGTGATCCGCTTTCACAGAGAGTCAAAACACGTGTGTCTGGTGTTTTGAGTTTAATTGTTTCGTCAAAAACGCTTGCAATTTACGTTTTACAGAAATTCAGACACGCTAAATTTCTGAGCACGCACATCCGGTAAAAAGACAGAAAAATGAAAAACGGGGATGAAGTTAAAACTGAAAATGCGAATAGTGACGCTACCGAGGAGGTTAAAAGCGAGAAGCCGGTTTCTAACGTTGAAGAAAATTCTACGAAAGAAACAACACCGGAAGAGCCATCCAGTCAGCTCTTAGAGAAAATAAAGAATCAAGTCGAGGTATTGCTTCATAATATAATCCATAACTCTAGCTATAAAGTTGATTGTTTGTACCAGATAACCAATGGGTGTACACAGTATTACTATTATTTATCTTAGACATTAATATTGATGGAAGGATGAATGGGAAAGAAGATATTTCCATTGTTTTGTACAAGTAGAAGAGTGAATAGCTTATACATCTATGCATATAGCAGAAACACTAATATTGTAATCATGTTAGTAACAATGTTGTTGTTTGCAGTTTTACTTTGGAGATGTAAATATGCAAAGAGACAAGTTCCTCATTGAACAAACAAAGTTGGACAAAGGATGGGTACCGATGTCCATTATGTTAAAATTTAAAATGTTGGCTTCTTTGAGTAAAGATGCCGATGTTATATTAAAAGCCTTGGAATCAAGTGATCTTATAGAAATATCGGAGGACAAGAAAAAGATTCGTCGTTCTTTGGAACATCCTTTGCCAGTGTACAGTAAAACATATAGGAAGGCACAAGAAGCCAGAACAGCATACGTAAAAGGATTTCCATTGCACGATACGACTATAGATAAGCTGAAAACTTTTTTTAATGACTTTGAGCCCTATGAAAGTATTATCGTAAGTATCTTTATTTTATGCCTAAAAATTTTTGGTATAGCCTGAAGAAGACTGGTGGAAAAGTATTTAGATTTTTACAGTTTCCTTGTTTAACAGTTCAGAAAGTATCACGATAAAGAAAAAAAATTGCACTTCAAGGGATCCATTTTCATACAGTTTAAGACTCTGGAAGACGCGAAAGCTTTTATGTCTAGAGGAACTGTGATGTATGAAAATATTGAATTAATTAAAAAGTGGTCGTAAGTTGATAGTACTATATGTTACTTTGAAAAAATTATTTAAATTGTTTAAAAGTTATTTAATATTTGAATTTTTAGTAACGACTATAGAATGGAAAAAATGAAGGAGAAACAAACTCGTAGACAACAGAAATACGAAATGAAAGCAAAGAAAAACGAAAACGTTAGTATAAAAAAATTAGTTTAACATGTTTACAGTAGTACAGTACTCTATAAAAATGTTGAATTTTCGTTAGACGAAGGGAAAGGAGGATGAAGAGAGTGGAGAAGACGAGCACGAAAAGGACACTACACTACCTAAAGGTTGTGTAATTCATTTTTCCAATGCATCCCAGAAGTGTTCAAGGGAGGATATCAAAAACCATCTAGGTGGATTAGAAGCTAGTATTGCATTTGTTGATTTTAAGATCGGCGATTCGGAGGGGTGGGTGCGCCTTGAAGGGGAAAATTCTGCAAAGTCTGTGGTCGATAAAATGAAGGACGGCAAAGTGAGTAATTCAAATCTGTGTACGCGTGTTTCCAAGGCTTAAACATTATTTTACTATGTACATATGTTATTTCATGTCAACAGTTAACAATCTGCGACAAGGAAGTTAATTTCCGCGTACTTGAAGGCGAAGAAGAAGAGACGTACCTCGCGAAAGCGAAAGAGAAAATGGACATTTCGAGGCAAAAATTCACTAAAGGAAAACGTGCAAACAAAAAGGGTAAGCTGATAAAAGTGAAACAATTTTTCTCTATTTTTAATACCGTTATAATGATGTTCTGCCATGCTAATACTGAGGGATTATCTGGATCTCGCTGAGTTGATCTCTTCTATATTCTGAATATCGTTTGATTAAAAATTTTGCTTACTGCCGAGACACAACAAATATTTAGTTCGTGGAATTTATTTTCCAGGCCGCAATGGACAACGGGCTCAACGAAAAAGACGCAACAGCGAGAACAACGATGCGCTTCCTAACAAAAAGACGCACATCGACGAATGATTCGAGACGTGTATTTAATTTTTAAAAGCCAAAAAAAAAAAAATTCCATATTTACTCTTTTATGTATGTTAATCATATTTTTATTAAGCGGTCACACATGTAGAGTATATAAAATAGACGTTACACTGCTATTTGTTCAAAGTAGGTATCTATTTTAAGTGCATATTTTTTTGTTATACTTGACTTGAAAGCAGTGTATTATTTATAAGATAAATAAGTACAATACTGTTCATATTTGCAAGCTGTATATTATTTTATTAAACCGTAATGGAACCCTGAAAATATTTTTGCAATACCTGGCACCGAGAGCGGAAAATCAATGTAACGATTACGAAGATCGTAGAAATCTGAAATCGAAATATATTTAGAAATCAGCATTTTATTGTTTTACAGTGAAATTTACAAAGTTTGGTGATCTAACCTGCTACTTAAATTTCACTGTTACGTGCTTGATATCCCATTCACACAATTAACCGACAGTCACAATGAGTTGACAATTCGAACCATTTTTGGACAATATTCGACGAATTTATGTTACGGTGTATTGAAAGTGTCCGAAATCGACAGTACAATTACGCAACACCATGCATATTATGCCGCTACCTAAGTACAACGTTATGTCCTTAATGGTACCGATACGCTTCCATTACTTCGTGTGTCTCGGGAGATGCGTATAATTGATTAAATATATTAAAATATATTAAATAGACGTTACTTTTTTTTTATATGGCGATTGAAACGACACGACGTGACGTGGTTTGCTGAGGTTCGTAACGTTCTTCCTACAAAGTAAAGTTTCATAAATCTTTTAGTAGAACATTATTAGGTTATGAAAAATTTCATTTCTAATTTATTTCCTTGAATTAATGGTATAAATAACATGTTTTGTGCAAATATTGATCAATGCAATAAGGAGAAGAGCAAGGATCGATGTGATTTTATTAAAAGTCGTTGGTATAAAATTATATACCACACCATTTATGCTTTACAAATTAATAGAAAAGAGAAACAAGTACGTATATCGGGTGAATATATTTAATTGAACAAAGTGAACGAAAAATAAATGTCTATATCGGTTTTTGTTGCTCGATTTTTTTTTTAACTCGTCTCCAAGCATGATGACAACCGATCGAGCTTGAAAAATTTTACAAAGATGATTTATAATCGTGTAAACGTGAGCGTAATCCCGCCTTAGATTACTTGGTCGAAGAGGAAATGGTACGTATTAATTTAAGGAAGGTTATTTCCCGTTTTATGATTATATTTTGAGCACATATCGCGACCAGGACGATCGACATTTCCCACAAGTGCTGTGTGAGTCTCGTAGCTCGGGATCGTGAAGTTCAAAAGTTAATTATTCGATATTTGCGCATTAGTTTCATTAATTTTAATCTTGAGCTTGCACAAAGCACTTGCGTAAATACTTACGCGAACGCGAACTGGTCTTTTGGGTTCTTATCGATATCAGTGCGTAAATACACGTCTTTTCTTTTTTTTTTAACTTTATTGGCGAACGATGACATCGAGATGATAAGATAACGCAAAATCGATGGAGTATTTTAATATTCTTTCTTTTTTAACCGACAAGGTGGGTTCAGAGGTTAATGTCATTTGTTGAGATGACTGTACACGTTGAGTTGTTACTATCGTAACATGTAAAATACTTCACTTTAACGATTATTTATAAATAAGTAAAATGTTACTTGAAATAGGTATCGAATTTCACGGGTATATATAAATGATCCAAACGTAAGATAATGAACTTTGTTATTAAATATATCTGAAATCAAATAAGCTAACCTCAAAAGATCGAAAGATTTACATTCAATGTCGTAAGGTTTCTTGCGATAGGAAGTATTCTACGTGTTACCATCGCTTGACTATGTCCATTTCTTTAAATTTCTCTTGCGAATAAATGTTTACGCAGATGTTGAACTAGAATGTGTACATTAGTACACTTATGATAGAAAATTTGTTTGATCGACTTTTGCAAATGAAACATCTAACGAAAGAAAGTTCTCATATTCTCTAATGGGAGATTCTAGAGCCAAAATAAGTCGAAAATCAAGAATACCAATTTGTTGATGGAGGCTTCGTTAAGAAGTTATTAACGTTTAAAGTTCCACTCGTACTGAATTTTTTTCTAGAAAATGGGTAGGATTTCGGGGGTATGTGTATTGACCAAAAATTATTGTAACTGACCCCTGCAACCAAAAATAATTTTTTTAAAACGATTTGAAATTTTTTAATTTCGTCGACTTTCATACTTTCTCGAATTTTTTTCTCGGAAGTGGGTACGATTTCGGGGTTATGTGTATTCACCAAAAATTATTGTAACTGACCCCTGCAATCAAAAATAATTTTTCTAAACGATTTGAAATTTTTTAATTTTGCCGAAAAACTTCAGCACCTACTCGAATTTTTTTCTCGAAAGTGGGTAGGATTTCGGGGTTATGTGTATTCACCAAAAATGATTGGAATTGACCCCCGCAATCAAATATAATTTTTTTAAAACGATTTGAAATTTTTTTCGCCGAAAAATTTAGGCACTTACCCGAATTTTTTTCTCGGAAGTGGGTAGGATTTCGGGGTTATGTGTGTTCACCAAAAATGATTGGAATTGACCCCCGCAACCAAAAATAATTTTTTCAGAATGATTTGAAATTTTTTAATAACTTTTTAACGAAGTCTCATTCGAGAAATTGATATTCTTGATTTTCGTCTTATTTTGGCCTCTAGAATCTCCCATTAAAATTTCTCCCATAAATCGAATGAATTCTTTAGACATACAACTGCTACGGTGGTTTTGTTTAATCCGTAAATTTTGTTTACCAGTTTTGAGCAAATCAGAGAGATCAAATTGCTCGTCGTATCAGAGCATCAATAAAGTAGATCCCGTGAATCGTTATCGCATAATTTTAGTAATTTTCATAGCAACACGGATATAATTCTCGACTGTCTGGCTACAAATCGCGTAACGTAGATATTATCTAATTGATTATCTGTGCAAATTCGTGCACGACTTTCGGTAGTTAAAATAGAAAAAGACACAAACGACCTCGAAGTTTTTTAGTGTAAACAGAATTAGGAATATTCCGTGTGACTAATCGTCAGCTATACCAGAAATTACCCTAATTGTATGACCATCAATGCCTAGATCCTGGATGTCAGCTACGAGAAGAACACTTGATAGAACACTGATTGTGTTGTGGCGATAGGCCCGACGAGGAATAGTTATAATACTCTCTCGTGAATCCTTATAGTGTTTTGCTTACTTACAGTCAGTCATTCGCTTCGATTAGAATTTCATTCCATCGTAAACGCCCCGTTACACTGATATTCGTGACAAAATACGCATGTATCTCGCGAGGTTGCATCGCAATAAATTATTCTGCAAGACATCGTATCGACGATTATGAAGCAACATATCGATTTCCTTAATGTCATTATCGAGCCACGGAGGAACACTTTCATTGTTCGGCGAGATGGCAGTTGTATTACACATCGTAGTTTCTTTATTCTTTTATCGTTATATCAATTAGTTACTTAGCCTATATAAATGATTTAGATTAATTACCTTCCGATTTACTCTACAGATTCACTTCGACACAAACGTCACATTAAAACCCTTAGAAGAATAATCACACTCTCAATTCGGTTAAACGATACATTATCGCAGCTCACTTTCTTGCTCTGTATGTATATCAACAAACTATTTCTTTATATTCGGTGACTCGGAAGTAACTGCAGTTCGAAAGGGCCCGTCCAAGTAATTCCTCGTTCGCGTCTCAATTTCGATCCAAACATCTTTGTCCGCATATCATGATCTAACCAAAGACCTTCTATTCTTGCCAATTACTCCCTCAGAACTTGGACTCGGTGGTGCCCTCAAAGTCCACGAAAGTCACTCTTTTAGCTTTTGCGTTGCCCTCTTGGGGCAACCCCTAATGCTATACAGATATCTCCTGTATCTGCACGCGTTTCTTGATGGTGTTTGTGCCACCTGTGGTGCTCAGCGAACTGGTCGTTCTCGTGGGTGGTTTCGGTGGTATCGGATCCTTGAGGATGGCGTTGCTAGTCCCGTGGCCAAATTTTGGATCGTTTCTGGCCTGCTCGTTCTCGTCCAACGATTGACACTGATGCATCTGTTGGTGTTCCTGAATGGAAGGACTCCTCGCGAGGGTGGTGTAAGACGGTGGCGGTTCCTGCGACGGTCTCGGGTTCTCCGGTGCTTTTATGGATGATCTGGTTGTCATTGGGAGGGATTCTTGCCCGTTGGGCGTACAGTCTATCGCTGCCCTCTTCTTGTCGCGGTCCCTTTGATAATAAATACCGGCGAATATCAACATGTTGAGCACCAGGAGGATGCAACCGACGCCCACGGTGATGGCCAGGGCGGTGGTTGTGCTGTAGTAGTGTCGGGAGGCTAGTCTTTGCAGCAGTTCGGCGTCGTCCTCCGAATCGTCGAAAACGGAAGTGATGTCCTCTGCAATTACGTCTTCGCCCGTGGACGTGCTGCACGCTGTCGTCGACGACGCGCTCGTTTTTGTCGTCCCTACCAGCGGCAATGGCGTATACCACTCGTCTCGAACCGGACCTACAACCAAATACGGTTCCCAAAATTCGACATTAAAGGCTTTGATTTTAATTTAACTCGTGTAGGGTGTTCGGCCAATTTTTAGTAATTTTGTTTGACGCCCTACGGAAAAGTTGTCTAATACTTTTTTGGAGGTACTCATGAGCTCTACCTCAGAAAAAAGTTTCATTGAAATATATTCAGTATTGTAGGAGTTATAGCTGTTTGAAAATTGGACCATTTTGATGGGGTTTTTCTCACATTACGGGGTTAAGGAGCAACTTTCCGAATATTTTTCGAATTTCTATATATTCTCCATCAAAATACGCGTCGTTTGCCGCTTGAAACATTAAAATCCTCCAAATCGTTCAGAAGTTATGATGCTTTAAAGATACGCATGAAATTTCAGTGAAACATATCAACGGTATGGTCAGACATCACAATTTTCGGTTATGAATTTTTTTCTCGAAAACGCGTAGAATTTCGTGGATATGTGTATTGGCCAAAAATGATTGAAATTGACTCCCTCAACCAAAAATAATTATTCTAGAAAGATTTGTAACTTCTAAATTTTGTCGACAAAGTCCACCTTCCTGAATTTTTTTCTCGAAATTGCGAAGGATTTCGTGGATATGTGTATTGACCAAAAATGATTGAAATTGACTCCCTCAACCAAAAATAATTTTTCCAGAACGATTTGAAACTTTTTAATTTTATCGACAAAGTTCACATTCCTGAATTTTTTTCTCGAAAGTGGGTAGGATTTCGGAGGTATGTCTATTCACCAAAAATGATTGTAATTGACCCTCGCAATCGAAAATAATTTTTTCAGAATGATTTGAAATTTTTTAATAACTGTTTAACGAAGCCTCAGTCAAGAAATTGATATTCTTGATTTTCGTCTTATTTTGGCATCTAGAATCGACCATTAAAACTTTTCCCAGGTGTGGCCGAACATCCTGTATATCTGTTTGGTATTGAAGATTATTTTACCCGCATAAAAGTGGTCGCCCCTTTCGCGAAAGTGATGATGTCGCATCGAGACGTCGTCGTCGCCTGGCCGATGGAGTTGCGGTATCAAGTTGAGCCAAACTGCCATCTTGTGACCGCGATAGTGGCTTCTCATTCTTGGCTTCACCGCTAAAAACAATTGGAAATGTGCAAGGCAAACCCAAATTATGGATTATGAAGGGTTCATAGTGCAATCCTATGTGAAGTCAGGGGCGGTTCTATCCTATAACTAATGAAGTTTGACCCCTTATATCGATATCTTAATTCAAATAAGGTGATAAAAATAGGTAGATCATGTAATACACATTTTAATAAAACATTTCAGAGAAGGAGAGGGTTCCTTAAATCAGTACGTTTCACGTTTCGATAAGTGTAGATCCGCCACTGACGATGAGTAATAGTTCGAATCGTAAGACACGTAACGCACCAAATGTTAGGTACTGCTGCGTGCCAGTTTCATATTGTTCCCACGTGAGATCCTGATATCGTGTTTTCTCCTTCGGTGTGCCATAATCCACCGACTCGATTTTGTACGGCTCGTTTGGATTCCCGGTCTTCGCGAAATTCGTGAAATAGGTGAGGACTGCCTCCGCGACGCCTTGATCCTGACGAGAGTAATTCCTAGGGAAGAAAGGCCCGCCAGCGACCAACGGTAGCCCGAAAATATACGGTATATCCTCGCCACGGATGCTGCCCAAACGCTGGAACAATACATATCATTATACCCGTCAGTGGAACGTTTTGTCAATGATTTTTTTCCCATACAAGTTTTTAAGGTAAATAACAGTGTACTAGGGAAACTGTAGAACTCTTTCGAAAGACAAGAAATTCAGGATTTCCTTCGAAGGAAGCTTAGCTCGGGGGAACAGCTATGTTAGCGATTCGACGGGCCAGCTGCTGGAACTTGGCAATTGTAATTGCAAAGCGGCGCGTATCGTGGAGACGTGCCCAATTTTGTTTGTGTTCCACGGTACGCTGGGGTCACGATGCAATTCCCGATAATTCGCAGCGCAAGCAACTGAATGTAGTTAACGGTCGTGTTGCCCTTTCATCTGTACACGCGCGGCATCTTCCTGGATATGCTACGGATTTGTGTACAGGTGCACACGGACCTTCACACCCGGACGACAGTCGAAGAATATTTGGTTAATGTTCGGGGCTTCGTATACATTCGTATTGAATACATTAAACATATTCGCGTTCCTCGTTTCACGTTTATTGCAGACGAAGATATTGGAATTGTAGGGCTATGAATTGTATGGGTTGTATGATTGAATCAAACAATAATATTTAAATGGAGAATATTTAGTCTTTGTTGTAAGCATGAAGATATATTTTAGAGAACCGTTCGGTCTGAAATCGAAAAAGAAAGGGACGAACTCTTATCTTTGTATAATAAACACCATGAGTTTGTAGACCCCATGGCCAAGATAGGAAAGAAAGTTCAGACATATTATATCGTCACTGGATTTTTGTAACATCACGAGATGGTTAGGAAATTGAACAGAAGAACTAACGCGAATCACGGCACAATCGAGAGTTAATAAGTTTCGCCCGGGGGTTACAGTTAACAGCAATTTACTGCGTCTATTCACCATGGCGGTCAGCTGCGTAGACACAAAGCGAAATTTAATTAAACCGAGAGCATGTCGCGCGCGAAAGGCGGCCTGTTTAATAAGTTTTCTTTGCAACTTCAGGCATTGCCATAATCAACGCGTTCTCGGCGAATTTAGAACCCCGGTTGGGGTGCAGAATCGGCCGTGAGTTAGGGCCGCGTTAAGAACTGGAAAATAGAGGGGGGGGGAGGGTATAAAGAGCCGAAGAAAGAATGCGGAGGCTGGAAACAGCAACCTCCAGCGAAGGAAAAGAATTACGGATGGTAATTGGAAACACGCGAGAGAAAAGCAGAGATATTAATTTTCAATTAAATGAACAATTTGTAATCCAGTTTTATCGCACATTAGTCGTATGATCGATAGGGATTGTTGAAACTTCCTTGGGTGCATATTGTCAAAGTAAATGTGAAATTAAACATAGAAGGGAGCATAAATTATAGCAGTTGGTATATTCGTTGGATAGGGGATGATATGCCCTTTAAAACGAGTGTTTGAACGAGTCGATAGCTTTATTAGTTCGGGAGATATGATAATTTTTGTTTCAAGTCGAGCGTCAAAGTAAAAGTCAAAATAAACATGGAAGATAACATAAATAATAATAGTTTTTACATTCATCAGATAGGGGATCAAATGCCCTTTAAAACGAGCGTTTGAACGAGTCGATAGCTTTATTAGTTCCGGAGATATAGCGATTTTAATTTCAAGTCGATGCGGTGGCTAGTTTCGGAGATATAAGGGTCCGAGGCGTTTGTTTACATTCTTACTACGGCCTTGTCAAGGTCGTTGACCGGCACGTGACTCGGAGAAACTAGGTCACTCGGCCAACTCGGTCACGAGACACGTGCGAGAAAGAGAGGTCCGGCGCGACGCGTAAGACAAAGACAGCGATAGTCGAATTAAGAAAAATTACCTTTTACATAAATTATGATATCTCGAAAACGGAAAGTCTGATCGTCAAAAACCAAAAACCATTTCAAAGAGGATGCTTTGCCGCCGCTAACAAAGTCTTAATAATTAATAAAACACTAATAGTTTCGGAACTGCACGCGTCTAAAGTTTTAGTATTTATAATACGCGCGAATAGGCTATTGTACGTAAGCCGGACAGTGAGATAGTCGAAATTGAAAAATTACCCTTTCACATAAATTACGATATCTCGAAAACGAAAAGTCCGATCGTCAAAAACCAAAAACCATTTTAAAGGGGAGGCCTTGCCGCCGCTAACAAAGCCTTAATAATTAACAAAACACTAATAGTTTCGGAACTGCACGCGTCTAAAGTTTAACTATTTTTAACACGCGTTGTAAGGCTGTTCTGAGATAGTGGAGACTGAAGATTGTTTCCTTTCAACCGGTGATATGACCGAGCGTGATAGGTTTAGCGTAAAATATTAAATTAAGACGCATATTAAGAGATACAGTCGTTTCGTTCATTTAATTTAACCGGCTTTATGTTTCTATCGTAAACGATAATAGGGGATGCAAAGTACAATTGATGGCAATTATTGAAAGAGATTGATATTCGTGTATAGAAAGGGGGAAAGATTGCCGCATTAAATAGATGTAAATTTATTGTCGCACGCAATAAACAGGTATAAATTTATTACATGGATAATTAAGCGGAGCTGTCCATTAAAATTCATAGGCAACGTTGTCCTCATGAAATAAAATCACACGTGTTAATCGTAGTTAATCGACAGTGTCGGTGAATGCAAATTAAATACTTCGCATTATTTAAGTCACCGTTTAGTACTCTGCCGCGATAAATTACTTCCCCCATAGATTATATCTCTGTTTTTCGTTTATAAGTTCACGTAATAATTTTTTCTCGAAGACAATGGTCGACGCAATTCCCCAAATAAATATAGATAAAACGCGACGACTAATTCTAATCAAATTTCTGTATTTCAATTACGAAGTAATTCGAACGTGACGAGAAACAGTTTACGAAGCATTATTCTCAGCTACTTTCCACGGACTCGTTTTTATCGGCGATCAAAACTCACGAAACGATCGGCCAGTTATTTTCCCATCCCCGAAACGGCCATTAACGCGCGAAATCGACCAATCTTGGCCAAAAGTTCGCGGTAAATCGCCGGGAAGCCAATCTCCTATTCAAAAACCACCTCGTTCGCGTCGTTTCGGCCGGCAGGAGAAAGGAAGGGGGGGTTAAAAAGACGACTTAATATAACAGGAAATTTCGAGAATCTAACGACGAAACCAAGTTCAGTGGATAACGACGCGTTTAATTTACACCCTCTTCGTCGGGGATCTTCGCGGTAATGCGTCGCCCGCGAGCCGCGGGGGAGGCGTTTGATTAAATCAGTAGCTTCATTGTGGAGTCATGGGTAGCAGTTAAACAAGGACACGGCCGCGTCATGACGAAAACTCGAAGCGAACGATGGAATCTGTTGCCTCTTACTCTACTCTTATTTAACTTCTAAATACAACTTTCTTCCTCCGTGAATATTTCGTATCCTTCCTTAGAAAGGATCTATGGTTTATCCCAGTGTCTAGAGTCATCGATTCCAGATAATCAGATCGTCTATTGAAATCACTATTCGACGAGGGGGCACGAGAGTTAATTTTCTCACTGACCTGATAGCCACTGTCCTTCGTCTGATGGCTAAAATGGTAGAAGTAGGTCTTGGCTCCCCTCCTGGCGTGATAAAAAGCGATTCTCATGAGCGGAGCCACCGTGTGACCGTCGCTGAGCGCCTCCATCGTCGAGTCCCTTATGTTGATAGGATGAAGGACAGCCTTATCCCAGTCCGTGTACTCGTTCCTCACCGCGGAGAAGATCTCGTTCAAGTGGTAAACGTACGCGTTCCTGATGAACGTTCGTAAAACGCGATTTCTATGATCCTCTTCGAAACCGTACTCGATGTCGTTCGCGTTGAAATCGAGATTCGACTCCGTGGTGGAGACACCCAGGATCAACGGCACTTTGATGAACGTGTCACTGGCCCTTTCCATGTCCACGCCCGGATCTGGATTATTTTGGTCCACCGGCAGACCGGGTCCTATACGAGGCACGAACCTGCGACATAAAAATTTCATTCATCCTGGCGATCACAGGAGTTAACAAGTTGATCAACGCTCGGGGTTCGTTTTAGTTCGTTTAACGGGGGAACTGTATACCAGGGTGATTTAATCGACCGCTCGTCGCCCGGTAGTTATTTTGATGGGTTTAATTTCGTCCCGTTCTCGCGACCAGATTTTTATTTCCCGCTGATTTTTTTACAATACATCTGTCAGTATGTTCAGGGTGGGAAAAATTTTAACGGGAGATTCTGGAGGCCAAAATAAGACGAAGATCAAGAATATCAATTTCTTGACTAAAGCTTCGTTAAAATGTTATTAACAAAATTAAATTAAAAAATTTCAAATCATTCTGAAAAAATTATTTTTGGTTGCGGAGGTCAATTACGATCATTTTTTGTCAACACACATATCCACGAAATCCTACGCGTTTTCGAGAAAAAAATTCATTACCAAAAATTGTGATGTCTGACCATACCGTTGATATGTTTCACTGAGATTTTACAAATTTTATCAAATCGTTCTGAAAAAATTATTTTCGATTCCGGGGGTCAGTTGCAATAATTTTTGGTGAATAGACATACCCCCGGAATCCTACCCATTTTCCAGATAAAAATTCGAGAATGTATGAAAGTCGACGAAATTAAAAAATTTCAAATCGTTCTAAAAAAATTATTTTTGGTTGCAGGGGTTAATAACAATCATTTTTGGTCATAACACATACCCTCGAAATCCTACCCATTTTCTAGAAAAAAATTCGAGAATGTATGAAAGTCGACGAAATTACAAAATTTCAAATCGTTCTAAAAAAATTATTTTTGGTTGCAGGGGTTAATAACAATCATTTTTGGTCATAACATATACCCTCGAAATCCAGCGCATTTTCGAGAAAAAAATTCAGTACGAGCGAAACTTTAAACGTTAATAACTTTTTAACGAAGCCTCCATCAACAAATTGGTATTCTTGATTTTCGTCCTATTTCGGCCTCTAGAATATCCCATTACAATTTTTCTCAGGGTTGGCCGAACATATTAAGAATAATTTGATTTTATTTTACATCCTACGTTATGGTTGTTTTCGCCACAAGTCGTTATCTCACCTGATTTCCGGAAGTTTGACCGTCATGAGCTCGCGTAGGGAAACGCCGCGCAGACAGTCGGCGATATCTTCGTCGTTTTCCGTGGAGCATCCTATTTGATCCGCCACTTTTGTGCGTAGATCGTTTGGATCGTGAACGGTGGCCCACGGACTTAATCCCGAACCACTTGACAATACTACGCGATGAAATAGACCTGAAACACGCGTTTATATGCTGAAGCAGACATATTCGCGTAAATGTTACTAAAAATTGTAATCGTGAAATATTCACGTAGCATCGGAATTGGAATTTTTGAGTTAATCCCCATAAATCCATCTATGGCTTCCCTGTCTGTCACTAGTCTGTCAGTAATATTAAATTATTGATAATATTGTTAAACAAAACGAGTACGAATGTCAGCTAACTCGTCGATCGCGTCAAGTTATCAATTGTTAGCAATGGAAGATTTACATTGTAAACATACTGTGTCTCGAGAGCGGTTAGCGAGTTACAACAGAACCAACATTTAATTCCAAAGTACACGGAACTTCAACGATCGATCTGGCGCGCCTTAATTAATTAGCAACCCTCGATAACCTATCGGCGGGATCCCATTTCCGGTCCCTCTCATCATAAAACGGCCGTTGACTTCGTCTCTCGATCGCGATTGGTCCAGAACAGAAGGGAGAAGAGGCGGGGACAAATTATCGCGAATCGCTGGTTCCGTTCGAACGGAACAAAAATACGAAAAACGTTGTAAAACTGGGGGATCGAGGGGGCGAGGATTAACGAAAGAAAATGAAAGGAGTCGAGAGGACGCCGCGGGAGGAACTGTATACTTTCCGTTAGCGGGACCGGGAAAGATTAAATGCAAACAGAAAACCGGTGGCATGTAACGATAACAAGGAAGCTTTCATGATATTTGCGGATGACAACGGGAATTGGAAAGGTTCGATTTTAGTTCGAACAAAATGAAACGCAAAAGTTGGACTGCGGACAGCGTTTATGCGTCGAAAGAAACGCAAATAATATATGTATCGATGATTCCTAATACCTAAGTATGCAAACTTAGTGATATAAAAGAGAAGGATATTTATAATGCAAAAATTAGAAGTACGTTGCTTCGTGAAAGACTCGTTTAAATCCAAAGGGGATAAGAAGGACAGAATTTTCTTTGTCGAGGAAGATTTGTGGATAGGTAAAGTTCAAGAAACGTAGTCCTAACAAACGCATTCTGGGCGAGAATTACCTTGGAACGAGCCATGGGGGATCAAGTTTATGAGAAAGCTTTCTAATTTCGCAGGTTGCTCGTGGCTTCCCTCGCGGTGGATCGAAAGTAAATCAAAGTTCGAAAGGACGGTGGCCCGATATCGGAGCTGGGATCCAATTTATTGCCTTTATTCCGAATATTACACCGTTGTCTAGACCAGTTCGAGATCGCCTCGTATCTCTTGGCGGCTCCAACGAGCTTCCCGGAGCTTCTTATCGTTTCGTCAGCGCGATTAAACGTCGCATCCTGCATGCAAATTGCTTCATTCGTCCCATGAAAATTTTACAGCAGGCCATTGGGAACGTCGCGCGTGGGAACGTCGAGTCGTCATTACGCCTTAGAAATGTAGATTCGCCAAGTTTCGGTCGCGGTAACGACACGCGTGAAATACAAAATAACGGTCTCGGCTCGGTCACGTCTACCAGCATTATGAATCTTCCAGACGCGACGATTCTTGAGTCGATTTTAAACTACGGCCGACCATATTGTGCAGATATCAGATTATTCAATAAATTTTTCTTTTTGTTAGTCCAAAGGGACTTGAAGAGAGTTACGGTACAGGACAAAAGTATGACATTTCGAGTACATCTTTCTGTGAAAAATTCGTTTCCACGTCGACGGGTTTCATATTCTGTCATTATTCATCATATTTCGAGAAAAAGGAATACCCTTTTCCCGTCAGAATATTCGTAAAATATGTTTCCCGCCGGTTACAAGCACGGTACCAGTTTTCAGGCCAATTAATTCCACGTTTTAAGCGTACCATCTCGTTAAAGAAATTTGATTTGCTTTTCAAAGTACCTGGGCGCTGTCACGGTATACCGTTTAAAATAATAATCCTCAGTTTTGTACGCAATACTGTTCTACCTAATTTCTATTTACATACAGTTTTAACCCTTGTAAATTTCTGATATATTTATGAATATTTACGAAATACGTGGGCTGTAAGTTTCTTTGTATCTTTTATCGAACCTGATGGTTATAAAAAACTTTGATTTTGTAAGTTTATATAAACACTCTGTATAAGTTCCTACCAGAATTTTTGCCATTCGTTTGTTTTCAATCTTGATACATTCCAGCAGCGAAAAAACGTCGTTTCTTTAGTCGCAGCAGGTCTAAGATAAAGAAGATCGAAAGCAGGGGGTTGCTTGGGGTTTGTTCCGCTGCTTGGCTATTTTTCTGAGCTTCCGGCCGGACCGGAAACGCAGCAAACAGTTTACATCTTGAGAGGTTCTGCTCGCCCCGCGGCTAACGCGGTGTCTCCGTTTCCAGAGTGGGCGCAGGAAGCGACGAGCGAAACGGCTCCTCTTCTTCGTCCGAGGCTGCGGCTTTTATCCCGCTCGCTCTTCGCCTCTTTTTAATCCTGATACCACGAACGCCGGACGACTAACTTCCGGCGAACGGGAGAGAGAACGAGGGCTTTTCGATCCGTCTGTGGAAGCGCCGCTAGAATGCACTCGAGTGGGGTCGAAGAGCACGGAGGAAGTTGATGCTCCCGACCGGACAACTTTTACTCCGGTTCCCTCCTCTTTTTGCAACCTCAACGACCGGCATACGTCTGTTCGGCCACGAATTCCAGCGACGGGCCAGCGAATTCGTCGGAACTTTGGCTAAATTACCTCGTTGGTTCATATCGAAAGACCATGTTTCGCCTTCTGCTTCTTTTGTCCCTTCTCTTTTCTCCTACGTTTATCTACCACCCCCACCCTCTCAAGACTGCTACACTCGCGTCAGGAAATGTACGACTTTTCGAAACGTCTGATGCAGCCATTATTTTTTCTTTTGGTAGCAAATTATTTGCTGAATTCTTTGAATCTGTATATTCAGAGGATATTGATTATAATAATCTGACCAAAACTACCTTTTTAACTCTTTGATCTACGATTTAATGTAATTTTTCAAACGTATACTATTTGATTTTGATTAAATTGGATAAGGAATGGGCACGAAAAAAATAGATTTGTTTTACGAGTATCTTCGTGAATTTAAAAATTGTGGCCTCATAATTGTGAAACTTGACATCGAGAACTTGCGACGAATCAGACACGTAATTGTATGGCAAGGGGTTGATATGAATATCTCTTGATATTGGCGAAATACGACAACATTCCTCCTATATTTTTTGAATCGTGTGACTTTATTACGACCATAGTTCCATTTAAATGTACCACATTCATCATTTGTATCGCAATTTATAACATAAAGACGACCGAATGGACCTGTGGAGTTTCGTTTACGTGAATTCGCGTGTTTACATGATCACGGTAACAGAACATTAATCAGAAATTCGGCAGTCTTCGCTTCGTTAGAGCGTAGCGATAACAAAGATACATCGAGCAGTGGTGAGTAACATATGCACGCGTTAAATTGGCCCCAATTATGCATTGATTACCCGCTAACTCTGCTTTGGTTCACGGGCCGTTGTTCGTCTTCGGAGAGGAATAATGCTCCTGTACGTTGCAACGAGCCCGAGTAATAATATTATAACGTCACAGAATATTTACACAGCAGCCGCCGCGACGTTTCGCGTTTATTTTCACTCGATAATGCCGGTTCCCCCGTATCGACGTTGCCCGTTTCGCGTGCAACTACGGTCCCCCGTACCGGTGAATTTTAATGCCAATAAAAAACTACATTCTCGTTCCTCCAGGAACAAAACGAACCCACGCAATTTGTCACCATCGCGCTAGATCGATACACGCAATTTTTCCTCTTTCGTTCCCTTTCATTTTACGTGATGTTCCACTATCTCGATTGTCGGCTCTCGATGGTTTCCCGGGGCTAATCTCTCGCCGATTAATCTATCGAGCGTCGCGCGTGCTGGATCCTCTAATCGTAACCGACAGAGATATTTCTCCTCTATTCCAAATCGATTTTCATTCGGGTCCGTTTGTTATTGCACGGTCCTTCGTCATCCGCCGAATCAAATACCAGATTCAAGTTTAATCGACCCTCTTAGGCGCGCGATTCGTCAAATTTATCCAATTCCAAGGATCTAACCTTTGCATTTCGAACTGGAAATCGTAATAGGCCAGCAACTATCAAGATTAAATGTTTGCAGAAATATTAAGTGTACTAACAATTACTCGCAATTATCACAAATGTTACATTTGTTTTGAAAAGCCAGAAGATTGCATACTAAGTATTTTGTATTCTGAGTAAAAAATTTATTTTTGTTAAAATGTACGTGTGTTCGTAGTTTTGCACCTTACTGTACGTTCGTTTCGGGTCAAAGGTTCTCAATGGCTCACACCCTGTGCGTGGCCCCAGTTTGTTTACCCTATTCACGACTTTACCCCATCATTTTCATAAATGACAGTGCTTTTACGATATCTACGACTTGCAGAGCGTCTCACCTTTGCTGTAAGGGGCGAGCAATAGAAAATTCACCAACGCCGCGCCGGTGTCGTGTCCCAGTAAGGTGATATTGGTCGGATCACCGCCGAAAGCAGCGATGTTCTCCCTAACCCAACGCAGCGCCATCGCGATATCCTTTAAGGCCAAATTTCCGCCGGATTCTGGCGTCTTGTCCGGGTACGGACGAGTCCTCAGGAAACCTGGAACATCGCCAAGGCATCGTTGAACCGACGTATACACCACGACAAACGGAACCTGACAAATATTTTGGCCGTTTCTATTATCCTATCGAATCACTCCACGGTCTCCGATCTCCGTATCGCCTAACCCCTGTTGTTTCAGTTTACCGTTCTACAAACGCAAAACCGACGCTGCACCAGGAGGGAATACAACGTCGAGGTCCGTTGGTACTTATATCGCAAATGAAATCTAGTTTTTATCGAGGTACGTTTCGCAATACAGTTGTTTACGTATCGGACATTCGTGGGTGGTTCGATTACAGGGCATCGCAGCAAGTATTTCTACGTTACAGATACTGTAATTGAATACAGTTAGAGAACCGTGAAATATTAATCCCCGCGCAGATTTATGCACACGACGGCCGGGAGTAATTATTGCGTAGCAACGGCGCTCGTTTCTGGTACACGATTCAACGGAAGGAATAAATAACTGTTGCAAGTGTATTCGAACGACACAGATTATTCGTTCGTCGTCAGGTAAATTTCTTATTTAGTCGTCGTTTTGTTTTGATCGAGTTTATTTAACCCTATCTACCGAAACATGCAAATTCCAAAATGTTCTAAAATTCCTTTCTTTGCAAGAATGCTCTATCTGTATTGGAAATTAATAAATTTATTTGATCTCAGTAACACGTAGTATAAGATTGAACCCAACATTTTTGAATACCTATAAAGGACATGCATTTAATTAATATAATATTATTATTTAATATTGAACTCGATGTACATTCCTTGTCTTGTAAAAGCATGATGCATACCCAGGATTCCTAGTCGATAGTTCAGCGTGATCACTATAACGTGGCCAGCACTGGCTAAGACGGAGCCATCGTAGACGTTTCCTGTTCCCCATTCGAAACTTTCGCCATGAACGTACACCATTACCGCGTACGGAGCTGCTTCCCCACGAGACCCTATAAAAATTCACGATTTTTATTACCACAATAAATTTGACCCCGGTAAGTACCGATGGTGCAGAAATGGAATTCTGCTGACACGAATTTGACAAACATAAATCCGAATGAGAGTCAGAGGCGCGTGTTAAATCCTGTCGATCGATACAGAAATTACGTTGCATAACTTACATCCCTGGTCGATCGATTCCAAATTTAATTGTCGTAATAGAATCGATATTAATAATTTTGTCGAAGGTCCGAGTGTCTGGTTAAATTCTATTCGTGTTTCGTGCGCGACAGTAGAAGAGATAAGCGCACGGTCGGGCAAAACAGTAGAACCGGACAGTGCTTGAGCGGACCAGTCAGACCGTCTGTCTTGTAATTAGTTGCTCTTGCACGAGACCCCCGCTATAACAATTGCGATTACACTTGACAGTGTCGGGAGAAACGTACGCGAGGCTTGTCAAGAGAAACGTCACGGGCAAGAACGCTCGCCGGGGCGTTCAATTGTTTAAATTAAAATAATTCAGGACCGAGAAATTTCGGTCGAGAAGTCGTAGGATCAGAGGAATTAATTTCCCCTGGCAACGCGCCGGTGCGCAGATCATATATTTCTCACAGAATATTACCCCGACCTCGTTCCTTCATTTTCTTCCTTTGTCAGGGGCGATATTTGAATCGGGAATACAGTCGTAAACAATACAGTTTGCTTCAAAGTTCGAACGTTGATTCGCGAAGGAATGAAAAAAACATTCCATTCTTTCTCGCTCGAACATCGTAATTAAATATCGCTGCATTTCACACGGAAGCTTTGACGTGTTACGTGTCCGTAACATTATCAATGTCGCGCGGGAACGCGATCACTTTGTATCTTACTATAGACGAGCGTAATCGCGCATTCAACGAAAGAGATTTACCGGTCAATTGGCCGTCCTCGTTATGCAGTTTGGCGGTCTCCGTAATATCTCTCCAAAGTATCGTTAATCCTGCTTCCATCGCGGCTAAATATCGCTCTTTAATCGGCGGCTAAGCGGAAACGAGCACGGCGCGATTAGTACAGAACGTCGCTTTTATTGATTTCGTCGAAAATTGAATTTCTCTATCGCGTGCAATCCGTTCGGCCGATTTAATTCGTAGCGGATCGCGTTTGTCATTCGCGTTCACAAAACCGCCAAATAATAACACGAAACTCGCTAACCGATTTTTACGGATGCGTTCGAATAGGGAAGAACAGAATTCCCTTGCCTGTGTCTACCTTTCCTTATAATCGTAGAAATGCTATATTAAAAATTATTATTTTATTATTGCTATCAACACAATTTTTTGTTATACTGATATCTGACTTGTCATTCTGCGATATTTATGCGACCATTTTCGATCGAAAACACCCGGATAAAGTATGCTATATGCAACCAGTAGATTATAAATCAGAGATAAAATTTCCGAATAAAAACAAAGGCTTCAATTATATAGCGAAATAAATTTCACACCGAACGTATCAAAAAACTGTTCCATCGGTGGTTATCTATTTATTAGGATAGAACGTGGTCTCTGTTATGAACTGTTTGCATACCAGGTCGGTACAATTTTTAACAGTATATTTTAATTTCGATCATTCTCACCGCTCCCAGGTATGTATAGATTCAGAAAGAGGCAGTCCTCGCTTTGATTCATCAGGAGCATGCGTAACCGTTTCAGCTGGTGATACCTGTCCAGAGGCATTTGCAGCAACGCGGCCGTGTCATTGGTGACGTCTGGAAAATGTTGGGGGCAAACCGCGCCGAAGGAATCCGCCAGTTTGATACCGTTCCAAGGGATCGGCGAGATCGGTGGTCGAAATCGTAAATCCCCCAGGGGCGGCGCCGCGTATGGTATGCCTCGAAACACTTCCACCGGTTCCAAGTGTTTGTTGTTCAGCTCCTACAACACGAAATCGAACCTTACGCAACGATCTCTGTCAATTTGCGTGCAATAATATCAGGTAATTTTGTATTACACATTGTTCAATGCACGATTTACAATTTAGAGTCTTTTGCACAAATTGATTCCGCAAGGCGGTTCTCCAGGGAACGTGGCGTTTATAAATTCGCGCCGTTCGAAGTTGCATCGATGAATTTTGGGTGGTTAACGGCGACAAAAGTGCCTCGTTGCTTGAATCGACGCGCGGAGGTCTGATAGGGCGAACCCTGTCAGTAATATCTCTAACAGCCGCATCGAGTTAGGTGAAAATCCCGTATTTATGTACATAAACGTAGTTGGGATGCCTGTGTTGCCGGGTAATTACCTAATTACCTTCTGCGTTTCGATTATCTCTGGTTTACGAGAGCTTCACTGGAACGCAATAATCCGCAGATGCTTCGGCACGGTCGTGCATCTAAATAATCTACACGAGGATTTCTCGATTTCGCTCGTAAAATTGATATTACGAACTCGTTACGTTTTAATAAATATCAGCCGGGATACTCGCGCGCAGCTTTAATTCTCTTAGCGCTTAACGCGGGAAACGCCAGTCGGGCGAGTTCGTGTCACTCGTAGCAAATAAATGTTTCACAATTTTTGAAGAACATTTTCGAAAAAAACTGGCAACGAAAAGGTCGAGCGATATATCGCGCGGCAGTTCGTAAAATTTTCATTTCCCGTGTTTGAATTCGAAATAATTAATCCAGCACTCCAAACAGTTTAAATCGAGCGAAATTAATTATTAATCTTCAGTTGCTTTTATCAGGAATATCCGTATATTTTTTAAACGCTTGTTTACGAACATCGTTTGCGCAACGTTGGCGTAAACTCACTCGAAAATAACGATTTCCATATAAATATTGAACTTGTTATTAACGAATATACTCTTCAATGTTCGATCTTCTGAACGCAACGCGCGTTTAAGGTGCCTAGAATTCGTGCTAACGAAATTAGATAATTGCTTTCGTTAGATGTAATTGTACGGGAAAAAAGATTGCCGTTTGCTAGCTTCTTTGGAAGCAATTATGCCGGAGAGCTAATAAATCTCGTTTGGTACGCGTTGACGTTAATTGCACCTTCGGGTGCTGGGAGGAAAAGATGGTTCCTCGTCCTCCTTTTCTTCCTGCATCCTCCCATTGAGAACGACGATGGAGCCGCATCGACTTCAAAATCACGAATTCCCATTAACGAGAGGGCCCGTGATGTGACCGGGGGAATAATAAAGAGGGCAAGGGTGAATTAGAAAGACGTGACAAAATTTTTGCCCCGAGGCTTTATTCTTATACCTGAGCACTTTATAATTATGACATTCCCACTATGGATCCTGAAAGAATTTTTCATCGAACCCATTTTTCAAGGTTCCATAATATTTTAAAATACTATCACCAAATGGTACTCGGTGAGAAAAACTTGTAATTTCTATAAAAATATTTATACAAATATTACTTCGAACCTAGCTCAAATCCGTTTCAATAAAAAGTTCTTGTAAGAAAATTACATAATGTTGGAAGAAGAAACATGAGAAGATCAATAACAGAATGTTTTTAAATCATAGTTCTGTTGTACGTCGTTATAATTTTACCGAGAATTCCAACATTTTTATTCTAGCTGAAAAACTCGGTAAAAATATCAATTTCCAAAAATGCTATCTGTCGGGAAACAATGTTACAAATTTTAATTAAATAAAATAACGGAAATGGTATCAGAGGAATGTGATAGGCAAATTCTCTAATAACTTTTCGAAACGTCAAACGTGAAATATAGAGATAAAAGTTTTCTCTTGAAACTAACGCTTGCAAAATGATTTTTCATTACTATTGAAATCACGGGTATCTAAAAAAAATTGTTCGTGGTAAAAATCATAGCAAAAGAGGGAGCTAGAGAAGGACAGAGAAACGGGGGAAATATTAAAAAATTCCTTTCCCCAGTGGATTCGATCTCGTTTACGAGTATGTTTTTCGAGCGCGTTAAAAATTAACGAATTCGCCCGGTCGTCAGCGTACGTTCGTAAAAATACCTATGAAGCAACGGCGTTGATGCGTTATTTATCCTCGCGAGACCAACGATTTCCCACGTGTCACCACGATTGATTTCTGATACGTTGCTACAGTTCTTGATGGTTCGTACAGTTATTGTACTTTTTTTTACATTTTCCGCCCCGGGTTCCAAACATTTTTTTCATTCCGTAGCGACGATTTGCTCGAAGAATTTCTAATATATTTTCACATATCTTTCAACGCCACTGCACCCAATTTCTGATTTACTGCGAAGTATGCGCTATATAGCTCACAGTGCCATGACCCGTGATTAAAAATAAAAATATTGAACTCATTCAGAATATCGAGAACTTCAGAAATATGTATTTTTAACTATTAAAGCGTGGGATTAAATTCGAGACGAGAACGTGTGTAAAAATTGCTGTTCTAGAAAATAGTGCAACAGCTACGTAATCGTTCGACGCATGTTAACAGTTTGAATTTCGAAATTTCACGCGAGAAAAACCGCTCGGACCGCGGAAGCGTTAAAATAATTTGTTTGGATTGCGTTTTTCAGCACGGTCTTGCAAGCTTGCCAGTTACGAGGCCGTAGGTTCGTAAATATTTGCTCGGATCCGCGACAAAATATTTCACTCGCTGAAAATATGCTGGCAGCCGGCATTAACGCTATTGTGGAGGGAAAAAGGCGAGCGCGTTCTGTAACTCAGACTGCATAATGCACTTACCGACGCATGAACGCTCGACTGGCCGCACTTAAGAATTAAAGAGCAGATCTGGGTCACGGCAATAAATACATCGACTAGAAAATCCCAGATGCTGGTGCTTCGTTTATAGAGAAAACGAGCTGCATTCTACCGCTCCGGTTCACGCAAGCAATTTTCCGCTAATGCTTCCGTGAAAGAAGGATCGTACATACCGCCATACCATGAAATTACACTGTTTCGCGAAAATGTTTTAGATACCCTATCATCGTCGATACCTCGTAAATTCGATTCTTGAAAGAACGAGCAAAATTTTTTAATCGATAAGAAAATGCTGCAACATCGAAACTATCAGATACTGAAAGACACGGTGACGCTTCGAGCAATGTTAGTTAGGTATATATTTATAATGTCTAATGATTATAATTGTGACGTTTTCATTTGCAACGCGTTTTTGGTCGCCATGAAATCTCCGACTGCCGGCAGCTGCCGTGCGATTCCTCGTGTCGCGGACAATTGCCGTGTAAATTGCTAAACATTTTATTACACCGACCATTGTTGGTCGTTGTACAATGTTCATCGTTTGGGAGGCAGACGTAATATCATCCTGCCGTAATTATGGCAGCATTGCCTGCCGGCTATTATTATTGCCAGGTTGCTATAGAGAGTGCATATATGGAGGCTGTTTGAACGCCCAACTAACGCAGCTATGATTGTCCCGCGATTAACGTAATACCATCGCAAGATGAAAGAGTCCTGTTAGGGGCAGAGTTAGGGATCTGTTTGTTTTTCACGCATCTCGTCGTCGAACCAAAGCCCTAATTAGTCGGTCATTTTTCAACTCCCTGATACGCGAAGGGACTGCATCACCCACGAGTCATTATAATCCCTTTCAGGGCGCGAACTCTGCCCGAAAATCAGTCGCGGACAGATACGATCGTAATTCTCATTATCACCAGGTCACGGATAACTTTTAGCTCCGCCAGAGGGAAATATTCTAGCGCTGGAAGCTTCGGAAAAAATTGCTCGACCCATCCCACTGTCGTACAATAAATTGGAGAGAAGAAAGTATTTAAACGAGGGCCGCAGAGACTCGGGGAAAAAACCTAACGAGTTTGTTCGCGGGTGCATTCGCTGTCAACGAACGACTGCTTTCGATCGAAGCTCAGGAGTGTACAGTTAACAAATTTTTGTTTTCGTTTTATTTCAATTGAAAGTTCTATCGATGTTATTAAAAATCCCGGTGGAAATAAAAAAAAATCGCTGACCTCGAATTTCTTGACGTTCTGTCAGCAGGTACGGTCGATCGAGTTGTCTGGAAGCCATGAACGTCGCGACAGATAGCTTCGTTTGCACTCAATATAGAATCTTTGTTTGCGCATCGGTGCAAGCGACGACCGATGTAGCGAAACGATTGACACAACAACGTTCTCTCGCCAGCCGTACGTAGCACTCAATCGCGTGAAATGGACCGAAATGGGCGAACGAGAAACGACCGGTACGAGCTGCGCCGCGTTACGACGTAATGTAAAGGCCACCGGACGTCCCAGGCGAAAAACTTTTCTCGTTATCCATCCATCCGCCTGGGGGACCGACGAGACTAAAAACGCTCGGTGAATTACTGATTCGCAGTTCACCGAAAACGGCCATGCGTTCGACCTTTCGTCCCTTTGCATTTTTTTTTATTGCACGAAATATTCGTGCAACGAGCAGACCGAAGTACAGCAGAACTTCCATTATCCACAAGTCTGTCATCGATATCCAACGTAACGTTTTTTGTAGACTCTTAGGAAACGAAGGGGGTCTGAAATTACACAGCAATAATGATGTTATTGATGACTATAAAGAGAATGAGATGCGACCGGCAAACACGTAACAGATTTACGAGAGTAAATACACGAGTTGAGAGAAACTAATGAGTGACGAAATATAGTAAAATCGGTTTGCTACGGTCACTCGTTTCTAACTTTAACACGCGCGGATACCGCTGGCCGTGAACTTGGCTACCACGAGGCATCGATCCTCGGGCCAATGATCGATGCGCGCGCACGTCAATCGTTAACAGATGCCCAATTTCGGCGTCGAGCGTATCTTCCTTTAATTATTAATTAAAACGTATTAATTACTTCTCAAACAATTCTATTATTAAAATATAATTACTATATACCTATTAGTTTTAACTACAACCATTGGTTTCATCAAATTTCTTTTCTTTTGTCCACTGTAGGCTGCTCTTTGAAATCTATAATTTTAACTTTTATCCAAGTAAATGTACGCGTCCAAAATTCTTATTTTAAATTCCATTTAAAAGCTGCGAACTTTTTACTTTTAAAAAAAGATTTTTCCTTGGTACGGCGGGAAATTTACCGTTCCCCTTTCGTCGCGATACCGGACCTCTTATAAAATCATTCGACGTCCATCGATCCTTCCTCGTGTCGACATGAATATCCACTAAACGCAATTGATGTCTGCCGGCCGGCGTAGCGTTTGTCGCAGTAAACGTCAGATCGGCTTCGTGTTCAATAACGGATCGACATCGCGAAAATGTGACGCGGATATTTCGTTTCTAAACGAACGGGGGTGATTTGTCCGGCAATGGTGGCGATGCTCCACGACTTTCCAAAGATTCATAATTTCAACGTTGAAAACCTGTTCCTCTGTTCTTTATAAGTATTGTTAGAAACAATACCTTCCTCGATAACGTTCGTTGTCGCGGACCCGAACCAGCGAACATTAACGAGGGATCACTGTATCCTTTCTCTGGAATTTTTGTATTCATGTTTCCAATGTATCGGATACTCAAACTTTATCTAGTAACCGTTCCGTTCGATAATGTCCACCCTCCAGCCGTGTACCTAAAATAGTAAAAATCGATACACTAAAATATTCCATGAATACCACGGTAAAAGATTTTCGAGTGTAAAGTACGAGCACTTATCAGAAATTATTTATTCCATCGGACACGTGTTTTATGGTTAAAACACGGTCAATTTCACCCTGTCGTACGTTACACGTTTTCATATCGCTCGCTCGCAGGATTTAACGTTTTAAGCATGCGAATTTTATTCGCTGCTTGATTCTGTTTCCATGACACAATCTGCTCCACGCCCATGAAGCCTTTGATATTCCGTACGTACACGCATTATGCATTCAGTATGCAAACTAAGCCGAGTGTATGATGGATGCTTGTCGCTTTTTCATTTTTCTAAAGATATCCTACGATTCCAAGGCAGCCATAAATGCAATTTTTTTTACGTTGCTGGTTTAAAATACCCTTCGTTTAAATTTCAAAGTTGCAAAAACGACCACCTCCGCTTGTGTACTTATGTAACTTTTTGTTTTTAAATTAATATGTTTGGTCTAAACTTGCGTTAATGATCCTGTAGGGGGTTAAAGTGTAATAAATAGACTGCGGATCTTCATGCAAATTCATATTTTTATTAATAAAATTAATGAAATTGGAGCTTTGTAGAGGGTTGCCTCAACCCCTAGATATAATAATTCCTACCTTACTTTAAGTATTTCTTATATTCTTGCATATTAACTGAATTCTGTAGTTTGTTGAAAATTAACATTTCCCATAAATGCATAAACATCCGCAGTCTGGTAATAAATAAGCGTCTGATCGCAGTTCGTAATCGTGCACGGAACGTTCGGGGTTCGAAAGAATGGGTTCGTTGCAACGAAGGAAGGAAGATCGATACGTACCTGAAGAATTCCCCGTATCTGTCCGCTCTTAGTTTCGACGATCCGCGAGGCGTAGCGGATCTGCGAGCTCGCGCGCGACCCCTCGCAACCGATCTGAACGAAAACAGCTATCAGGACGAGGCAGCCCGTCAGCGACGCGGGGATCGTTGATCTGCTCAAGGACCTCGTGGCCAGCGGCCTCTTCCTGGCCGCCGGCTGGCATGGCAAGAGCATGACAGCATTTGCTGGCGGCCACCCGAAGCGACGCCAGAAGCATAACCGTGGAAGGTGACTTTAGCCACAGCCGAGGATCAGCTATGAGGTCGCAGAGTAGATCGTCGCAGGTAGCGCTGTATTTCAAAACGATACAACAAATCAGATCTGCACGACACAAATGTCTCTGTCATCTACTGTCTATGATAGGGGTGGATGTACCATGTAACTAACGAAGCTTTAGGTTCATGCAATCGTTTGCAATTTGATTCATATTTTGCACATTGACAGATTCCGTTCCCCTATTTACAAAGATATCAGGTATTCGATATTCGATATTCCGATATTGACGAGGATAACATTTGTAATTGAATAGAGAATAAATAAAAAACATGAATTGAACTTTAGACTGGAAAGATATATTTTAAAAAAATATTAAAACAAGACTAAAACAGTTCGCAAGGAAACGAATGTGAGTTTACACTGAATATCAACGAGACATTCCCCAGAACAATTCTAGAAAGTCGCTATGGTGCATCTTGCAGCTATAATATTCAATGCGTTCGAGCGTCATGGATTCCATACGCCCCATAACATCGGAAGATTGGACCCGAATATACCTCGGACGTGCTCGTCACCGGAAGGGATGGAAAAGTATTTCCAATCGTTGGACAGGAACGACTTTCCAAGCTATTCCATAGGCAATCCAAGACGTCGCGGACGAATCACTTCGTAACCTCGTTATGCAAAACGATGCCTCTGCGCGTCCTCGCGACTCTTATCCGGCCCTCCGTTTTCCTCCGTGGCGCAAGTTGAATTGCGCTCAAAACAACTCGCGAACGATAGAACGCGAACCAAGTCGAATACCGTCCAGCTTCGAGCGTAGTTCCGACGATTGGTGGCGGTCGCCTGTTCTTGGCGAAGCCGATGCAGCCGCTCTTTCTTCCATCTGAAACCGTAAGAATTCGAGCGTGAGACCCTGGGCGTCGCGTATTGGTAGCGAACGAAGGAACACAAGGGGACGATAACGCTGTGGGTGAAAAGAAGGACTCGTAGAGGGGCAGGTTGATCAGAGGGATGGCCCGCGGGGAAGGCAAGCTTCCTCGGAGTAATCAGTGGCCTAGCGCCGCGTTCCTGTTTCGACCACCTACACCACTACCCCCTAACGTCTAAACCAACGACGAGCGCATTTTCCCCTTTCCCCGTTTACTTTTTTACGCCCCTAACGATTCGGGATTCCAGGGTAATGCGCTCCGCGTTCTGATTCTCGGGAATCTCTGCTACCCGCGGGATAGTGGCCGCTTAGCTTGATAGCATTTTTGGAAGGTGTACCGTGCAGGCGTGTTGGAACATTCGTGCGCTCGCGAACACACACGGACAGGATAAATCTTTAAAGTCGCCAGTCTGGGAAAGGGGCGATGGATTAAACAAGACAGAGACGAAGCTGTGGTCGAACGACGATGAGGATTTGGCGCTGTGGCGGCTTCTTGCTCCACGGAGGAAGAAAAGGAAAAGGGGGGTAGGGAGAGAGTTTCGTAATATTATATACCTTACATTTAATCGAGACCTAAGTTAGAATACAGATTCAATCAATGTGTAAGGTAATCAGAGCGATAACCACTTCGCATCGAATCACTTTTAATTCAGACAAATCACACTAATCGAGTTTCGGTGTAAAATTCACACAGGACCGGGCCAAAGTGCTTCAATCGCCTGTGGAATTGCATTATATGAAAGTCATAAACTCTGGAGCTTTACCGTCGTAGTCGGACATTTCACCGCCACATCTGCAACCATTGGCTGATGTTGCACTTTACGAAACGGAACTAATGGCGTGTGAAAAACTTTCAACTTAAATTTCTCAAAAACGAAGGCCCACCGTGACAAAAGCCATCAGGGGTTTTTAATACTCGGTTCGACGTAAAACTTTCATATAATGTCACTTTAAAAGCGATTGCAGCACCTTAGCCAGGCCCTCGTCAGATTAACCTAGTTTTAACTAACGCTTCGAGCATGATTGACTATTCTATTTTACTTAATATAGAATTAATCTAATTTAAATTATTCAATGGTTGGTTTAATTTAATATAGAATTACAGTAAAGTTCGGATTATCCGAAATATTTTTCGACAAAATTAAACCATTTCAAATCGTTCTGAAAAAATTATTTTTGATTGCGGGGATCAATTACAATCATTTTTGTTGAATAGACATAACCGCGAAATTCTACGCACTTTCGAGAAAAAAATTCTTTACCGAAATTATTACCGAGAGATAAACAAAGAAACGTTTTATCTTAGAAGAAATTTTCTCAAAGTTACCAGTACGCGCAATAAATTTGTCTTCTTAGACTTTCGTAGATTATTCCACCCTGGAGATAGTTTCCATGATGGAACCTTTTTAATTCGATTCTTCGTCCCATCAGAGGGTCCGACGCTTCCTTGAAGAGTGAAAGCGCTTCATCCGGCGATTAGATCGAAGGAAAACATCGATGGAAGTCAACGCGTTTATAACTAAGTCGCACGAGGGATGTTCCTCCCCCCAGTCGAGGAATCGAAGTTCCGCTAATTCAATTTCGACTCTCAATTATCGGTCGCGTCAGATTCCCTAGGCGCCTCTAACTTTCAACCCTTGACGCGCTGTTCCCCGAAGAGGGTTCGACTCAACGATCGCCAAACGCGTAATACAGCCGCGGCGTTTCATCCCTCTATATTCCACCGTTTTATCTTCGGATTGACGTTTCATCCGCAAAAATCGACAGACCGAGAACCGGTAGGATTGCTTCTGTGCCCGCGCGTCAGTATCGGTCGCCGGGGAATAAAGCGAAAGAAACAGAACGACGCAAGAGGGATGACGGATGGAGGCAACGGAAGAGGAGAGACGAAGCCCCGAAACCGGCCAACGGGGAAACTAAATCGCAGGCGTTTTGGGAGAAATTCGAAATTCGATGTATGCTGGGTGTTTATAAATTATGGTTGCACAACTTTACATATAAATGAAACTCGCTGAAATGTATTCTAATTACGGTTGCGTGGTTCCACCGCTGTTGATTCACAACAATTTCAGTAAACAAGTTGTTTCGCCGCGCTTGTTATTATACAACCGTGTGATAAATTTCGTGAGCTATTATAAAAAATTCCCAAGAACGGTGATAGCAGGACTGGTCGAGTTTTCTTTTCCCGTTTCGAATCTCGATTTTATACTTCGGCCAAATGACCATAAAACGACATCGTAAATTGCGCTTTAATTAAAATCGAAACGCTTCGATGACTGTACGTAGCTCCCGGCAAGAAGAACGTGACAGCTGGCAGCGATCTGTTCCACACCACCTTCTCCTTTCTGTTCTCCTTCCGAAACGTGCAATCAAACGAGGTTTAATCAACCCCGGGTTCTTTTATAGGTGGTGCGTTCCGCGAAATGCGCCTATGGATACGCTTTTGCGCGGAACAATTACCAACTTCGAAGCACTACACTTTTATTACGTAATATCAATGACCATTGTACAGCTACGTAATATTGGAATATCTGCGCTATTTCCTGGAATTCGACGGTATACGATTTTTTTTCCCGACGTTGCATCACATCAAACATTGCATCTTTCTTGTTTAATGACGTTCAAATACGCAGTCTACTCTCTGTTTGACTTTGATCGAATATTATATTACATATTTCAATTTAAAAATGATTAAACAATAATTTACAGACGCGTTATTTCTGAATTTCGATTTTAAACCTTATCCAAAATGCAGAGTAATTTAATTTTAATAAATTCTAAATATAAGTATGTACGAAATTTTACTCCTTTATTTTCAGATTATAGAATTGAAATAACTCCTTTACTTTCAGAGATATCGCGTAAATGTATTACGTAGAGCCGTTCTTTTAGGTTTACGAGGAAGCATTTAGTATCAAATTTATTTTGCAAACGAAGAAGTAATTTTTTTAGTAGATAATTCTACAAAGAGCCAAGTTTCTATAGCGCTGTATTATAACCATTTTGCGTAATAACAAGGAAACATGAATAATAATATGAATCAGTAAATTTAAAGTAATAATAAATTTCAGGACTCGTTTCACTTAAACTATGGTATAATGGATTTAACAATTCGGCTGTGTACAGCTACGTTATTTCCTTCCGGAATCTGACTATTAAATTACCTTTTTTATTGCGATAACAAAGCCAGGATAATATCCGGTTATAACATTTTAAAAAATGTCTGCTACTAAATATTGTCACCTATAAACCGTTCGAATGACGCGAAGAAAAGCGGTCGATATTCAGCGCGAAGTTGGCAACGCATGCGCTTCGATAGCGCGAGGCGCGAGGCAACTTCAGTACGGTCCATAGTGGCAGTCGGAAAGTTGGGTGGGGAGGGCCTTTTTGTCAATAAAATCTCTACTCTATTTTTTCTCAAAAAGAAATTTTCTTCAATGTAAATAATTGAATAAACATCGTTCCTCGAGGAATTGGAAGGGCATGTAAGTACTTAAATATATATAACACATTTTCTATCTAAATTTAATTGACATACATTCGACTGTCACATTGTATCTTCTGTAAATTTTCTGTTTCTCGCGTTTGTTTTACATTCCTCTAAGCTGTTTTTACGATATCAAGTTATATTTTCGTTTGTTCACTTCAATTTTAACGCTTATATTCTCTGTTCAATAACCTAACCTCTATTAGACGTTATCGATTCTGAGAGATAATTCTGGTGAAGGACACTGTAGTTCCAATTCTAGTACACGAATTTTGTTACATCGAATCGCAAATTTGTAAAATTTAATTCTATATTTTAAGCAATGGTACAAAATTGGTTTTATATTCGTTGCAGTTTGATACAGTCTCAAGATGTCGACATCTGCAATATATATTTTAGATGTGAAGGGCAAGGTATTGATCTCACGAAACTATCGTGGAGACATAGAAACCGGGGTGATAGAAAAATTCATGCCTCTTGTAATGGAACGCGAGGAAGAGGGCAATCTAACTCCGATAATCCAAACTCTTGAATGTACATACGCGTACATAAAATATAATAATCTTTATATCGTTTCCACTACGAAAAAGAATGCAAACATTTCATTAGTATTTGTATTCTTGCACAAATTGGTTCAAGTTATGCAAGAATATTTTAAAGAACTAGAAGAGGAGAGTATAAGAGACAATTTTGTTGTTATTTACGAGCTCTTGGATGAATTAATAGATTTTGGTTATCCGCAAACTACGGATAGCAAGATTTTACAAGAGTATATCACCCAAGAGGGGCATAAACTTGAAATACAACCGCGCATTCCTATGGCTGTGACTAATGCTGTATCTTGGAGGTCTGAAGGTATTAAGTATCGTAAGAATGAGGTTTTCCTTGATGTAATAGAGTCTGTAAATCTTCTGGCAAATGCTAATGGAAACGTTTTGAGCTCTGAAATCGTGGGTGCCATAAAAATGAGAGTCTATTTGTCAGGAATGCCAGAATTGAGGCTCGGGCTTAACGATAAAGTTTTGTTCGAGTCCACGGGACGCGGTAAGTCCAAATCGGTAGAATTGGAGGATGTTAAATTTCATCAGTGCGTCAGATTGTCTCGATTCGAGAATGATAGAACAATTTCTTTCATTCCTCCCGATGGCGAGTTCGAGCTAATGTCTTACAGATTGAACACGCACGTGAAACCATTGATATGGATAGAATCTGTAATCGAACGGCACGCTCACAGTAGAGTAGAGTATATGATTAAAGCACGATCGCAGTTTAAGAGGCGTTCTACGGCCAACAACGTAGAAATAGTAATTCCAGTGCCAAACGATGCAGATTCACCTAAATTCAAAACTACCATTGGTAGCGTCAAATATTCTCCGGAACAGAGCGCTATAACTTGGTTTATCAAGTCATTTCCCGGTGGAAAAGAATATTTGATGAGGGCGCATTTTGGTTTACCATCCGTTATCAGCGAAGATTTGGAGGGTAAACCGCCGATTCAAGTCAAATTTGAAATCCCGTACTTTACTACGTCGGGCATACAAGTCCGTTATTTAAAAATCATTGAAAAGAGCGGCTATCAGGCTTTGCCGTGGGTACGGTATATCACACAGAACGGAGACTATCAGTTAAGGACAAACTAAACGTGAGTAAATTTTTGGTAATGAAAGATTCGTCTTAAATGATTCACGTTTTCGTAAATAATATAAAAGTGGAAGCTAGTCGGTATGCTATGCTTAGTATGCTTCCAAATTTTTAAATCTACCTTTATAGCTTTTGTAACAACTGATTGTGATCGATATGAAGATCGAGATGTATAGAGTATAATAAATAGTAATTAGTATTCCCAATATTGAGTAATCGTTTCTCGATATTGGTGCTTGTTTTACCGAATAATTTCAATACTTCATAGTTACGATGCTCTACAATATTTCATATGTATAAATCGAAATAATATTTTTAGAGAATTTTGTTATTTTAAATCGTGTGAAAATACAGAGTACTTAATTCATTTAAATATGTTTCATTGATGCCACTTTCCTCTTTATTATAGTATTAGTATTTTCTATATACAGGGGTTATTATATCGTTCGCTAAACATTATTTCGATATGAAAAGTTGTAAATATATTGAATACCATTATATCACAACACTTTCATGGAATTGTTAACAAATTAATAGACGTTGATTGTATTAATTTAAGCTCTAATAGTATTACATCAGATTTATTGTATATCAGTATGACAATAGACATAATACTATTATTACTGTATATCAATGTATTAGTAAAGTAAGATTTCAAAACAGGTGTATTAAATTTTTAACTGAAATAATATGTCTTCTTCATTATTTATCCCATGTATACTTGTCCCATGCGTATCCTCTGCGTACTTAACAAACTGTGCTAATATATCGTTTAAAATTCCAAATATAAAAATAATCAAAGAGATTAAAATTCCGGAATAACAGATCTATTTCTTCAAGCAGACGAATTTCGAATAACGGTAATTAAACTCATGAACTTTGAATCTAGTGGAACTTCGATTCGAACTGTTTGAATTTCGTAATTGAACTTATCGAACTACTCGCACTTTGCCTAATTCCGAATTAATCAAACTCTGAAATTCAACGAACTGGTGCTTAATTTCAGTTACCTCGCTTAATTCAAATCCGTCAGGAAGAAATTAAACTTAACGGGACCGGAGTTTCCATGCATTTTATTTGCATGCAATAAAAAAACAGCATTATTTACATGTTACGTACGCGTACTCGAATTTTTGTCATTCTATTTTCCATCTCGTCGTTACAGTTTAATATCATTAGCCTCGCTGCTCCGCGTTTTGCTGAAACTTGTAGGCGTATGCCCTCTGGTCCTTCAATTACAAGCTGGCACGATATGAAAGTAGAAGTCACGCTAACCGTGAAATTAGATCGAGGAAGTGGCTTTCAACGGCGAATTCAGTTTGATCGTACCGTAGGTTAAAAAAGAAAAATCTCTTCGAAAGAACGCGCGAAAGAGAATTATTGCAAATTCTTCGACGGCTCCCGCGAAGATTGATATCGTAGACGTTGCAACCCCCCGGTTTGGCGTGAGACGTTCGTCCCGGAAAGTCGGTAAATATTCCGGAAGAAGGTCGAACCGCGAGAAATAGACCGAGCAACGTGGAAAACCTGTTTAGATCGAAACGCTGCGTGGCTTTTTTATGCGCGCGGCTGCGACCCGGTCACGGTATGCAAATTTTCGAGGCGGCCCCGCAATAATTTTATGGAAATTTGTGGCCCTGCAAGGAATTTCGAACCCCCCCGAGCGAAAACGCATCTACCCGAAGAACGTGCAAGCGTATCGGAAAATGATGAGAAAGGGGGGATCGTCGGGCGCCCTGACCAGAATAGCCTATTCTCATTCATACCGGGAAAAGAGGCGGACTCTATATTTATCCGGTGTCCTGTTTTTTTCTTTTTTCGCCGCCTCCTGTTTATATTTCGGTCGACGTGGCCACAACGCGAAACTAGTTTCGTACGTGTTAGCGCATTACGAATTAGATACGCGGCTGAGGGCAGATAACGAAACATGGTCGGAAGAAACAGTCGCCGGCATGGTAGTTACAGATAAAACACTTTGGAATAATTTTACAAGTCCCGCTTCGTTTATCGTGCTCGCGGGAATTGTACTTTTATGATCTTACATGTGCAAATTAGGGGACGGCAGTTTCATTAATTATGCCATTTTTAACGATAAATGTAATACGAAACAGCAGTGTCTGGTTAACTGCGAGTCGTATATATTAGCAAAGGTCCCATTAACAAAATATAAACAAATTTCACATCCTGTTATTTATCCCTCGTACGGCGTAGCACGGCTTGTGGCTTTCCGGGCATTGAAAATCAACCGTGCTTTTATTCGCTGTATATTAGTCGATGGTAAATTGGGAATGTAACGTATTACTTTTTGTAGGGAAAATTGTTTTGCAGGAAAAACGATTTCGAAAACTCGCCAACGGCGTGCACGCGACAGAGCGTAATTAAAGTCGTGGCAGATTTGTATGACTGCACCTGAAAACAATCATTTCTAAACAAAACGTAAATGTAAACGGATGGCTTTGCAGTGATCGGTGTGCAGAGTATTCGATGTAATACGTACTGTGTCGTTTAAAATAAAATTTGTTCGATTTACGTTCGCGTTCGATGATCTACGACGGCGCTATGTGTCTTAAAAATCCGAGTAAATTCACCGACGTCAGGCTGTTCCACCCTAACATAATTCCCGATAAAGATAATAAATATTCTAAAACCGTCAACTGTTTCCTTTTTCTCCTTTTCTCTCTCGCGATGCTTCTGGAATTTATGTGTATCAATTCACGGCTGCGGCTGCTACGTCGGCTGGTATTTACGATAATGCATTTATCCAAAATTTCCGTTTTCTACGTGTACATTGGCGGTCTTCGGGGCTGTGATCTGATCAAAAAAGGTCGACGTATCCTCTGAAAGTTTCTTGCCGCCCAAGAGCAATTTTCAGGTTATCGGATATCGCACGTAGATGCTTGAAAATCTATATTTATATACAGGGAGAAGATTCTTTATTACCGGGATGGGTAATTTATAGTTGCTAGCCTTTATCGTGGCGTGGAGCTATTGATGGATGCGCGCTATAAATTTCACTATACTTTCTTTGTAGCGATGCTCCTCGTTTCCAGATAAATAGTTCAATATTTTCCCTTTAGCCGTCGTGATCAACAAAATCAAAACTAATTTACCGGGGTAGCGTGCACGAGACTGTATTTAAATTAATGTTATCAGACGTGATTGCTTCCTTTGTACGTTGCTGGCACGGCGGCTTTGAACAGCGTGTTAAGGCAAACCTTAATCCGAAATTCGTTAAAGGTTTCAACTTGTTGGTCGAAAATAGATTTTATTATTACGAAATCGCGTTATGGTCGGAGTGACAGACTAAAATTTAGTAATATTTACCACCTTGCTGTTATCAAGATTGCTAGATTTCCTAAAAATTAAAAACAAATACTCGTTTAAATTTGCTTGATCCTCGCGCAAGTCAATTTCGCAGATTTGTCTTCTTTCAAAGCAAATTTATCGCCAAAAGGGTGGTCGAGGAGCAAGTAATGGGGATGCGTGCAAGTAATTCGACAACTCGCGGTTCTTGTTCTTGTTCCGAGCGGCACCAGTTCCGATTGGACGTCGCATAGCGTAAGATTTCGTGAAATTTTGCCGAGAGGTCGATTTAAAAAGTTGCAGCCGAGATCTTGTTGCGAAATCCACGGGAGACGTCTCGCCGTCTCTGTCGCAGGATATTAAAACTTTGTCGTGAAATATATAGTGGCTGTCAACTCGACTGGATACGTACGTCCAGGGACGCGAGGGCGGCTCGAATAAAAATGTGACTTAAAGTATATACGCGGGGAAAAATGTATCTAAAGTTTTACGTCTGCCGCGTCGAGCCGGAGATTTCGCGGTCGTCGTACTCGAATTGCGTGCACGTCAAAATTTTTTACGGACATTTTGGGCTTCCACGCGGCCTGGAACCTTTAAAAATTTCAAATTCGTGCTGATATAATTGCAGAATTTAGCGATCCACTGAATCATTTGCTTTCTCCGCTGCTTATGTTTCTGATTGTGGTTAGTGGTTGATATTGCTCGAGGTTGTTGATTTGCTAAATTCCCAAACTCGGAGGATAATTTTATACAGCGGTTTGATAGCTTCGAGTCGTTTTCAGGGCGGTCGCAGTTTAATCTAAACCCAACCAGAATTTAATTCCGAATGGGAACAATTTAGCCGTTTAATCACATAAGCAATTAAATGGGGCAATTTGCACAAAGGTTCGGCACCGTAACGTTCCTTTAACCGAATAATGGCCTTTGCGGGGATTCGAATTAATAAATACGACGACGTTATGAAATGAACCGGCGAATATTAATTTCGGTCTAAATTCTATTTAGGCACGGGTAAATCGAGCATAGCCGCGTCAAACGATCTAGCTAATTGCCGGGCTTCATTGAATTACAGAAATATGAGTCGTAAAACCCGAAACAACTTCCAGGACTGGCTGGTGTACATACTTGCGGAAATATGTTCCGGAGTTTGCTGTTCGTAATTCAACTCGAGTTTATGTTCCTTGTGTACAAAGTGTTAGCGTCAAGTTACATCGTAGAAATACTCCGTTATGAATCTCGAAAGTTATTCCCTTCTGGGCGGAAGTGTACACCGTGCATACGTTGGCGTATCGTACGTGACGCGTGGTCATGTTTTACAGATCTGAAACTGTCAAAACTTTGTCAGCTGCTCCCCGTTTATTTGTCTTTGTATTACTGTGTTGCCAAAACTATGGTGCCTGTCCTTCTCTTTGACTAAAACATTAATTAAAGTATCAAACAACTAAAAGTTGTTTTAGACGCGAAATGAGAACCGACAAAATATTAATTTAATCAAAATTTGCTACATTCGCTGGATGTAGCTTCGTTTCTTTTTTCTCATTCTATAAAACTTACTGGATATGGATTTGATTTTAAAATCGAAGGCACATGCAAACGCGATATTAATTTTTAGCTCAAAATATCGCGAATCGAGAATGTCAAAGGCTCGTCGTCCGTTTAACGGGATTCTTTTGATCCGTTCCAGCCAAGTTCGGTTTAAAGTAAAATTAAACAAACTGGGACAGCGGAGAATATCAAAGAGTCAGACAGGGCGTGAATTAAGCGACGTGTACGTTTTACAGGGATGTGTTCTTGAGGAACACGTTTCGTTTGCTAAATGCGCTGCCGCGGCCACGATAAATAAACGTACACGTTTAAGTTTCAAACAGCGACCTGAAACGCGGTTACCAGCCGCAGAATGAAAGGAATTTATGTATGCGTGCTTGGGCGTGTAAAATCGGAGAAAATGCGGGCCGCGCGTGCAGTTTTGCTCTTGCTGCGAGAATTCTGAATTACAGCCGTTTGCCCCCGAAAAAACCCGCCCTTTCCTCGCGACGACTTACAGAGAAACGAGACCGCCTTGGAGGCGCGCGGAAAAATATTGCCGAAAGAAAACGAACTCCCTAATTTCCTGGATCACGGAAAGATTTATACGGTCCTGGAAATGGTT